GTGTGATAATGTATTCGGGCCCGGTTTAATTTCTACTCCATATTTTGGGCTTGTTCATGTATCTAATGGGCTCATTCAACGGACAGATCAAACCGGCATTACCCGACGCCCACTGCCCACTGGCTGACTGAGCTACGTCGTCGTCATCATCATCATCACAAGCTTGATTTTCTTTTTGAAACACGCCGAGAAGTAAACAGATCGATCATACACAACAATTTTCTTAGTCGCTGTGTGAAATTTTGTTTTCTGTTGCGAATTGGAGCAGATACGTAATGTCTATTTGATCCCTAGGAAGATTTCGTTCATTCACCTCTCAATCGACCAGAAACCAGATCTTAATTCGGAATCAATCAATACAGATCTGATCTACCTGGCTCCGGATAATTGATGGCAGGGGCGGCCTCTGCGCTGTTCCTCCTCGACATCAAAGGCCGTGTTCTGGTGTGGCGCGACTACCGTGGCGACGTGTCTGCAGTTCAGGCCGAACGTTTCTTCACCAAACTGATTGAAAAAGAGGTATTTTCATGTTCGTTTTTCTTTCAGATAGCTTTTTTATGCTGTTTGTCTTGGTTAGAAACCTAAACACGATAAGTAAAACAATACCTACTCATAAAGTAGGTTGATTAAGCAAAGATGTTTGTATTTCCAGTTAGGTATTGGTAAATTGAGAGGGTTTGAATAAGAATCTGTTCCAGTTGGCTTCCAATTGATTTCTTGCACACAGATAAATCTGTTAAAATCCACCAGTCCATTCAATTTTCGGTTGGAATTTCATGCCTTCATTTAATAAACAATTCAGTAAGAACTTGTGAAGCAGTGAGTTTGGGCATTGGTTGAGCTGAAGATTTTAATAATAAGATCAATATGTTTGCAGAGTTTAAATTACATAAGGTTTTTGCACTTTTATTTTTAGTTAAAAGCACTGTTATAATACTAAACCTTCAAACATATATTGAGGTTAAGTTATGTTTTTATGAAGCTGTATGAAATGAGTATGTTTATAACGTGTTGATGTTCTGATGAACTTCAGGGTGATCAAGATTCTCAAGATTCTCAAGGTCCAGTTGTCTATGATAATGGTGTCACTTATATGTTCATACAACACAGCAATATATATCTAATGATTGCTTCGAGACAGAACTGTAATGCTGCTAGTCTTCTCCTATTTCTACACCGTTTAGTTGATGTAAGTATTGAATTTGAAATTTTGAATGAATATATATGATCACTTATAATTCTTATTAATCAGATTATCGTTTTAATTTGTAACAGGTGTTTAAGCATTACTTTGAGGAGTTGGAAGAGGAATCACTTCGAGATAACTTTGTTGTAGTGGTATGAATATGTATATATATGTATGACTCTATACATCCAACATTGATTATTAGAAGCAAAAGTTGACTCAAAGATTTATTATGTCTTGCAGTATGAGTTGCTTGATGAAATGATGGACTTTGGTTACCCTCAATTCACTGAAGCTAAAATCCTTAGTGAGTTCATCAAGACTGATGCATATAGGATGGAAGTTTCACAGAGACCTCCCATGGCTGTTACAAATGCTGTCTCATGGCGTAGTGAAGGAATACATTACAAAAAGAATGAGGCATGTCTTTTCTAAACGATTACTATGACTCATATTACAATTTACAAACAAACAATTTGTTAATCTCTTCAGGTGTTTCTGGATGTTGTGGAGAGTGTGAATATGCTCGTGAACAGCAATGGGCAAATAGTTAGATCAGAAGTCGTTGGTGCATTGAAGATGCGGACTTATTTGAGGTCAAAAACTAAATTTCTCTTCTTTTTTTTTTTGCTATATATCTTTTAAAAGTTTTTTAAAAAAAAAATTCATTCTTGTTACAGTGGTATGCCTGAGTGTAAGCTTGGACTGAATGATAGAGTATTATTGGAGGCACAAGGACGAACTACTAAGGGAAAAGCCATAGACTTGGATGACATTAAGTTCCACCAGTAATTTATCATATTTTCTTTAATTCTATATATATATATATTATATATATATATATATATATATATATATATATATATATATATATATATATATATATATATATATAGTTTTATAAAACTGGAGTGTATGTACAAAATTTGGTGTAGATGTGTGCGATTGGCTCGATTTGAAAATGATAGGACAATATCATTTGTGCCTCCTGATGGAGCGTTTGACCTGATGACATATCGACTTAGCACTCAGGTGAAGCCTTTGATTTGGGTGGAAGCTCAAATTGAAAGGCATTCAAGAAGCCGGATGGAAATTATGGTAAAAGCCAGGAGTCAATTCAAGGAGCGAAGGTATGTACTATGTAATTTTTATTTTATTAAAAAAAAAAAAAAAAAGAAAGAATGTTAGTTTAATGGAAAAAAATTGTTTGATAATAATTTACAGCACTGCAACAAATGTCGAAATTGAACTGCCTGTGCCAGCGGATGCTACAAACCCTAATATTCGAACCTCCATGGGATCTGCTTCCTATGCACCAGAAAACGATGCTCTCTCCTGGAAAATTAAATCTTTTCCAGGTGGTAAGGTAATCAATCATCTCTAAATACTAAATACAATTACACTTTTATTTTATTATTTCTATAAATAAAATATAATATAATATATGTCTTTTCAGGAATATATGTTGAGAGCTGAGTTTAGTCTTCCGAGTATAACAGCGGAAGAAGCGGTCCCCGAGAGAAAAGCTCCTATCCGTGTCAAATTCGAGATACCATATTTTACGGTCTCAGGAATTCAGGTAAATTTTAATTTTATTTACCCTGTTTGTTTTTTTTTACTTAATACAGAAAGAAAGAACGACTTAACAGATTCACCCTGTTGCAGGTTCGTTATCTAAAGATTATTGAAAAGAGTGGTTACCAAGCTCTTCCGTGGGTTCGATATATAACAATGGCGGGTGAATACGAACTAAGACTTATGTGAATTGTTTGTTTGTTTGTTATTGTTGTTGTTGTTGTTGTTTCATGCACTTATTAAAGGAAACTTGTAACTTGTCATCATGTTGTTTACCTACAAAAAAAAAAAAAAAAAACCTTTTTTTTGTGTATTTTTTTGGAACCTCAAATCTGTAATTACATTTTAGACATTTCTACTTTATTCCCCAACAAGTCTTTAGCTGTTTCCTGTTTAAGTCTTATACATTTTAGAAATAAAATAAAATTATTGAAGAAGTGGTTAGAAGGCTCTTCCCATATATGAAATACAAGTTATGTGAGAGCCGATGCAAACTTTTTGTTGGTATCGTTGCTCAGTTTGTTGGCATCGTTGCTCTAAAAGAAACTGGTAAGTTGCAATGCTTACCTTTGGATCTGAAATCAGAGCAGCCCAAAACCAATATAACCCGGAATAAGCACGTTGTATTGTGGTTTTAAACTTGTTTATTATTAAATAACCATGTCAACCTGTTTTGTTTAATTAGTTGCTAACTCACTAATGTGTTTAAATGTGTCTATATATTTTATATTTTACTTAATTTTCGGACATTTTCCCCGGCGGGATATTGCTCTTTTTTTTTTTTTTTTTTTTCAGTGAGTTTGGATTAACTACGTCTAGATTTTCTTTTCGTTGGACTTTCATCTGGAATTTTCATGATTCACGATAAGATTGTGCTACAAATCACGAGCCCACCATAACCAGCCCACTTGCTGTTAGCCCACGTGAGAGACCCAAAAGGAGGAAGAAGATTGTGCTACAAATCACGAGCCCACTTGCATGTTTCCAGGACCGAAGTCAGGAACGACTTTTGGCATTTTGCATCATTTTAGGAAGACTTGGTCTCACTTAATGAGTCAAGAAGGCAATAAGGAAGCTAGTGCTTCCCACGTTTCTTACTGCACGTTTCTTACTGAAGGCAATAAGAAAGCTAGTTTTTTGTTTTATAAATTGTACTTTCCATTAGTGCAGAAATATACAGAAAATTGACCTATATCCTCTGAATTTCTTGGAGCTTGACCCACTCAACAGGTGTATCATATGTGCTTTCATTCTCTTTGTCCTCAACCATGCCTCCCAAAACCTATAACACCAAATCCCTTATTTGCTACTAACAGCCCAACTCCTACCCTCGAAGCTTCCATGGCAGCAATATCTGCAAGCTTGTCACCACTTCCACAACCAACCAAACAATCACCCAATCTCAGTTGGACATAATTATGAAAAACGGCTAACCACTCAGTATGAGCAAACAAATACCGTTTTAGCCACTCTTATCAAATCATCAGAAAAAACCTTCCACTACACACTCATTCCCTAAACTAGGATTTAAATCTGCCACTGGCAACTCACAACTTCAACCCCCAACTCATCTACCTCCACCTCTACCGGCCTCCTACCCACACCAACAACACCCACTACGGTTCTCCCCTGATGCGCTTCAGAAACGATGTACCGAGGGCTTATAATAACAACTACCACACTTCAATCAAAATGTCACCATATGAAACATTATATGGTCGTAAATGTCATACCCCATTATGTTGGCGTGATTTAGGACAGAAAATCCTTGGAGGCCCTGAAATGATTCAAGACACCACTGACAAGATTCAAATTGTACGAGAAAGAGTGAAAGCGGCCCAGGATCGACAGAAGTCTTATGCAGAAAAGAGGAAAACGACCCATAGAATTCCACGTGGGTGATTTCGTAATGCTGAAGTTATCCCCATAGAAAGGTATTATGCGATGTGGGAAGAAAGGAAAATTGAGTCTTAGATTTGTTGGACATTTTCAAAATCATCCAGAGAATTAGTAAGCAAGCATACCGTTTGGAATTGCCGGAAGATTTGACAGGTATTCATGATGTGTTTCATGTGAGTTATCTACGTAAATGTTTTAGTATATATGAAAACGATCCCGTTATCCGAGGTGAAACTGGATAATAAATTAAGATATTTAGAAGAACCTGAAGAGATCGTAAATGAAATAACGATTGATCTACGTAATAAAGAAGTGGAGTTGGTGCTTGTCAAGTGGAAACACCATTGAGACCCAAATTATACTTGGGAAAATAAGAATGAGATAAGAGCAAAATATCCCCATTTGTTTAAATCGTTGTAATTTCGGGGACGAAATCCTCAAATGATAAGGTATTTGTAACATACACGTAATAACCTTGTATAATTATCGTATTTTGTAAGCTTCATAGCTTAAAAATAAATATTATTAAATAATATATGATTTTGAGCATTGAGTTCTAACAACATAGTTTTATGAGATTTGAAGTACAACTATGTTTAGAATCATTCAGAAAGTGATGGGAAGTCTTATGAGATTCTGATCAAAAAGTCAATTATCGAAATTAACGAACATATAAAATTTGAGTTAGAAATAAGTAAAACTAATGTTATAGAAAGCTGTAAATTATCTCATTAGAAACGTTTAGGCGAAAACCTCATTAAAATCTGAGTTATAACAAAGAAGTTATGACTTATCAAAGTTTCGTGACAGAACCGACACGACCTCGTATGACGTAAAATGTGAGTTTATGATAAACTACTTTTTAGCTTTAGTGATCTAAATGAAAGTCGTAGTATTAGTTAAACTGAGAACTTTCATACACTGTTTGAGGGTTTGTTAAAGTATTCTAAGCCTTGTACAATCAAAATTTGGGTTCTAGGTCGAGTTATTTCAAGTCATTGCACAACATTCGGGTCATACACCCTCTTGGGAGGAGTGTACGACCATACACATGGGTATACGGCCGCACACCCACCCCACAACCGCACACTCGGGGTGGTGGGTCACCCACCCCTAAAAATATGAGGATACCTCCTCTCTTTCACTCTTTTCTTCATTTAGCTGCACAATACTACTTTCTTTCTCTAGAATCTTCACCCAAGAACCCTCCAAAGGCTTTAAAAACGTAAGTGATTCATCCCCTAGCTCGTTATACTTGAAAGATCCCTTGATTCTTCATGTTTTTAGCCTTGTTATCCATCCTTTGAAGGTGTACGGCCGCACACCTTCATAAGGTTGGCCATACACACCTTAAAGGCTCTCCAAAGTGAGAGTTTGGCCCCCATCTTCTAGTTGGACTTGGTATTAGCCTTAATTCACCTCAACAGCGACATCTTGGGCATAAACATGGAGAGTGTACGGCCACACACCCCTCTGTACAGCCGCACACATATCCTTAGGGTCGTACACCTACTTTGATGCTCATATTTGACCTCAAACTTGCAATAACACTCAGTATGGGACCTAGAACCACTCCTTGTATGCTTGTAGGACCTTGGAAACACCTCAAAAACACTTCCCTTCATGAGTGTACGGTCGTACACTCATGGGCCGTACACCCATGGCTGTACACACCCTTAGGGTGGCCGTACACCCCTCCTCATTTGACCATACATGGTTCCGACACTTAGTTCAAGCATTTTCGGGTCCTTAGAGTGGTTCTCTACCATGTTTAGTCATGAAATATCTTAATCTAATACATTTATGTGTTACTATCACTACAAGAAAAATACCCTTTTACGACGCACAAACGACGACACTCATTGATTTATGTTACGTAAAAGAGAGTGACATTTAAAAAATGTCATATGTTAAAAAAATTTAAGGATTTAGGTCGCGCATTATTGCGTGCCCTTAAATTAGTGTCTCATGTAAAAAAAAAATTAAAAACACGGAGGGCACTTTATTTAAAACGTACGTCCTTTGTGAATATCGTTTTATATATTTTTTTTAAGAAACGCGTGTCCCCTCTCAGAGGGAAAATGAAATCCCCATATTTTTTAAAACCCGGCCTTCTTCCCCTATATTCGTTTCCATGTATCTCATATCTCCCCTCCCTCGTCTCCACCTCTCACCGACATCCACTGCCTCATAAAATTTTCACAAGCGAATGATTCCAGAGCCTGCTAGCGATTGGGGGTTATTTTCACCTCCGCTCTACTTCTCATCATCCATCTACTTCTATCCTAAAGCCAATGATTGAGTTTACTTTAACTAATTTTTCGGATTTGGAGTCCGACGAGGCTAGCATCGCAAAAATTTTGATCGCATCTTAGAAAAGGAAGCATTTTCTGTTTTACATCTTATCTTTTCTATGGTACCACCACCTAGCCTCCGATCTCTCACCGCCAAGAGTCTCTGACCATCTTGTCTCTGACCATCTTCTAGTGCTTGAAGGAACCTTCTCCATATTACCCTAAAAATTGTTTTCCCCCTCTCCTCAATCTCGTTCACTTTCACCTTTACAGTATAACATTGTTAGTCAATAACCCCCACCCCTTTGGTGTGATTTCTAGGGCTCGGATCAACATCTCCGCTACCATTTCATTGATGGTACAAAAAAGTTATGTGAATTGACATCTGGTGCGGATAGTCTCCGGCTAAGATCACTAGTTGACCTCACAAGCCGTGCACTTGCCCACATGATAAAAGGAAAATCTCCTGAAGAAATGCGTCACACTTTTCATCTCCCTGATGATCTTACAAAGGTAACACAAACAAATTATTTATTTATTTATTTATTATTGCCAATCACACATTCCTTGAGCAAATTGTTTATTGCAGGAAGAAAAATTGGAACCTTTAAGAATCTAGACCAACGATCCACGTATCCGTCTCTTAAATAGGCTATATGCAAGAAAGAGAAAAGAATTAAAAATCAGAGAAAAGCAAAGGTAAGCAGTTCATAATTTCTTTTATCATAATATATGTTAGCATCCATCTCTTAAATTGCAATCACACATTCTGTCATTACCGCCAAGGGTCTCCGACCATGTTGTAACATGTTGTAGTAATTAGTAATTTAGTATGATATCACCTTACAACTAAAATTACATATATACCCTTTGCAGATTCCAAAGGTGTTAAATTACATATTATTATTATTATTATTATTATTATTATTATTATTATTATTACTATTACTATTATTATTATTATTATTAATTATTATTATTATTATTATTATTACTATTACTATTATTATTATTATTAATATTATTATTATTAATTATTATTATTATTATTATTATTATTATTATTATTATTACTATTACTATTATTATTATTATTATTATTATTATTATTATTACTATTACTATTATTATTATTACTATTATTATTATTATTATTATTATTATT